CTCCCAATAAATATGACCACTTTATTCTAATTCCACGTTAATGCGTGATATTTGATATGAAATCTCTGGCTCGTAATATATTATAACAATAATAAGAAATTAATGTATATGCTTAAGCTGCTATTGATACTATAAGACGCATTCATTAAAATTTATGTTATCTTCATATTGTGGAATTGTGAAGTCAAACCTTATTCACATATGATATATATATATATGTTCATCTAGATTAATAGTTATAATAACTATATAGGGGTAGCGTGATACAATATATAGCACCTTGTGGTATGAGGGGCCGAGCTAAATGGAGCTTAGTGTGGGCCTAAACCCACACTGAAAAATGAAAAATAAAAAAATAAAATAAAAAAAATACTATGACTTATATATGACTTAAAAAAAACAGCTCAATAACTCTTTAATAAAAAAATTATACAAATTAAAAGTAATACCTTAAGGAGCTCACAAAAGAACAAGAGGGAGGTAGTAATGGAAACAAAATGCATACTTATTAATTTTGGTTGTTGTAAATGTAACATTTTTTTTATTAGATTTGAATGAAAAAATTAAACACTTTTTATATTTCTAGCATGTAGTTAATTAATTATTGTTTCTTAATTATTTAAAAAATTAATATTAGATATATTAATTTGTGTGTGATTGATAACTTATTAATTTGTACGACTCTTAAAAAATTGATATATTAGATAAAGCATTTTATAAATTATAATTTTTTTTTCAATATCGAATTATAGGGAAAGATTTCTAGAAAATGTCTCGACAAAAAAATGCATGTGAAAATGTTACAAAATGCTCTACTTTCAATAAAAACTATTTGAGGTGAATTATAATATTTTTGGGCCGAAATAAAATGTGATTAAAAATTAAATGATATATTATGCAACGATATTGTCTTATGAATACTAGTAAGAATAAATATGATAGTGTGTTTTTGTACATACTGGCTTATTAATGCTAGTAAAAATAACTATGAATGTATGTTTTTCTAGGGATCTGCTCCCCTACCCATGGTGTGCAGAGAATTAATATGTCCACCGCTTATGTGGCATGTACACACTCGTACGTGTAAAAATAACTATGACCAATGTGTACATGTCACATAAGCGGTGAACATATTAATTGCCTGCCCACCGTGAGTAGGGTAGCAGATCCGTGTTTTTCTATTACACTTAGGTTATTATATTTAAAAATAAAAATAAAAATAAATTTGGCCTCCACTCATTTTATGAGTTAGATGATGCAGATATAATATAAGTATTAAGTATATAATCGTATAACATTAAATTTTGAAACATTTTCGAATCTAGTCACCTCTCCGTGGGGGAGAGGAGAGAGGTAATTGAGCTTCCCTCATTCTTGACCGTAGCACGGGTATTAGTATTATTCTCATTATTATTAGCATTTAATATTACTATTTAATATTTTTGTCGTGTTGAACAAGTTATGAATATGGTTTAGGTGTTTTATTTAAAGGACTCTTACGTTTCATTGTTAGGGTGGTGGATTTTGAATAAAAGATGAATTGATATCGTGATTAGGTGTTATTGAGATTGCGATCTCATCAATATCGTCTCACTGATACGTTTCCCCTATATCACTTATCCTACTAATATTTCATTTTATCCATTAGTCTTTCTTGTTAGGCCGTCTAATCGTGCGGCCGGGTCGAATCCTGTTGAGGTAGAATGCTGCGCTTATCAAGCTTAAGTGGTCCTTCTGGTCAATCGCACGACCAGCTGTACCTTCAAGTCGAGTTTCTAACAGGTCATCCGAGGGTCCTAACCCGACCTTTCCCTTTGAACCCCTCAATTCCTCTTCGACCTGAAGGCTCCTCATCGGCGCTCGACCCTCTTGCTGTCCTGTTTCGACCAACCGGTTCGCTCGGCTCGGTCGGCCAGTTTACTTGGTTTGCTCTATATAGTGTGATATCCCTTATCACACTTATTACTATCCACAATTTTCAAAATTACTGAATGACATGATATTATTGTTATATATCATTAATTTATTGTAGATTATGTATCCATCTAAAATTTATTTAAGATAGTTTATTTCATAGAACAATTCAAATAAGTTAAAATTAATTTTGTGAAACATACTTCTCCAGGTGGAAAGAATTATACTTTTATACTACACACTCGTATTAGAGCCTACCCTTTTTTTTTTCTTTGCTATAATAATTTGCTGCATCATGTAATGAATCAGTAATAGGTCCTCCAACTCAATCAACTTGCCATAATAATATTTAATATGCAAAGAATTTTTACGGTCAAATTCCTTTAGCATATTATTGGGCAAACTGCAATTATTTTAAGGCCGTCGTTTACAATCCGTGACCATCAAAAAAATTGGGCGTCTTCATAGAAGGCCAAGTGATAAAAAAAGTCAACCGTCTATTACTACAGATAGCAGATCTAATGTAGTGTCATGTGCATTCAACAATTAGATTCTAAAACATTCAAATTCCAGAAGGAATTTCAACATGTTTGAAAATAATTTTTAGAAGAATTTTTAAATATACAATTTTAGTAGAAAAAAATACGACAAGCATTTGAAATTAGTCACGTATGAAGAGTTTTTGGAGGAAAAAATTTGCAATTTGAGATATTATAAATTCCAAAATTGTATTTCAACACTATATTTGACATCGAGAGTTGTCACATGAGCCTCATTCTCGTGTTGGAACTTGGCACACAACAAGACACGAATTTTTAATATGAACCTAACTAATTTGTTTTTTTTTTTTCTTTTCCAAAACGATAGATATTATTATTATAATTATAAATCAAAAGCGCACAAATGTGCAAATGCAAGCAGCTCCAAGCTGAACGAGAACAGCCAACAGCTGAAAAGTGGGATGACAGGTCCGAAGACCGCCTAAAATCCCGACTAGCAACGCTAGAAAAAAAACTCGCAACTAAACTAACCAACTACACAAACAACTAAAACAACTAAAAAGACCCCAACAGAATAATACTCGAGTGTCAGATCCCAACAGGATAATAAGTTTGACACTCGAGCGCACAGGGGCCAACGGCCCAAACAAAAAACACAATACATGCTCAATGCAATTACTAACACCGACCCCGAATCGTCCCATCAAAAACCGAGAGCGCCATAATCCATCCCACACCCAGGGACGGATTTGTAGGGGGCCCAGCGGGGGCACTAGGCCCCCCTGAAATTTTTTAAAATTTTAGAGGTATTTTAGTAAATTCAAATAATATAAAAAAATGAAAAAAAAAAAATACATGGGTAGAATCGGATGGAACTTTGAAGCTTGGACAGGAAGATCATACACAACATTTAAAAAAAAACCTTGAGATTTGAGAAATCTATATTATCTCCCGATCCCTGTACGGGCCGTACCACGTCCGTTCGTCCATCCAGCTTCGAAAAACTATAAATGGAAGTTGTGAACGCGATTTATATTTTATACTAATCTCTACTTTCAATGGAGGATATCAATGGAAGTTGTGAATGCGATTTATTTTGGAGAAAACAAAGAATATTGAATTTTTCATTTTTTAAGGGAATTTGTGCAGATTTATTGATATCAATGGAACAGTTTTTTTTGTTGTGTAATTCCTTTTTTATTTTTTCCCCTTGAAGAGAAATATTGTGATATCTCAATGTTATCGAAGTTATTTTTCTCGAATACTATGATATCTGTATTATATCGTAAGTTATCGTAAGTACTTGTCCTGTACTGATTTATTTATTTATACGGTTGATTTTTTTTTTTTATTGTTATTTTTAGTTGGGCCCCCCTCGATAAAATTCCTAGATCCGTCACTGCCCACACCGATTCCACTCGAACTCTTCTAACACCACTAGACGAGGCCGATAGAACCTCCCCCGCCGCCTAACACCACTAGTCAAACGGGGCATTGTGCGAGGAAATACAGCCCTCACCCCGACCACCGCGACCAAAGCGCCGCAGCCACCGGAGTCCCAACCACCCATAGACCCGCACACCGCCCGATAACTCGACAGACCCCCCAACCAGAGATACAATTCCGTCTGAAAGACGGAACTCCGCCGAGAACGACCCGCCAATCGCGAACAAGGGAGAAAAGAGAGACTTACCACCACCATCGGAACGTCACCGGCAACGGAGGGACTCCACCACCAAGCTTCGACCGAGAAGGATGCCGCCAATTTAATCCCTGCCCGCAACCGAGAGCTAGCATCCCGATCGAGGCCCATCTACCGAGAATTTTTACTTCTACATTTTGTCCATCTTATATTATAATAAATACCTCTAATTCATATATAATGAATTCATATATTTTTTTTAATAAATATATAATTTTATTAATTTTTAACTAGAGTTAATAGATGATTTAATTTTATAATAAAGATTAAATTATTTATTTATTATATATACGCAATGAATATCAAATCAAAACTCATCAAAACATATTTGATTTGATATATTATATATGAAAATTGATAAAAAAAAATACAAAAGTTATTCTTTTAACAATGTTTATAATTTAAATTAGTCAAATATTTTATGATTTTAAAAAGTATTAATAGGTATGGATTGTATCCATATCTACATAGACTACTCTGAAGCATAAAAATTGAACTATAGAATTACGATACACCATAATTCAACATATAGAATTACAAAGCACCAAAAGTCGACACACAGAATTGAAACATGTTACATTTATAAGGGGATATTACTATATCCATTGAAAAAAAAAAAAAATCTTATTAATACTATTTTTTATATTTAAAAAGTAAATAATATAAGTTTTATATCAGAAAATTATGTTTTTGCCAATATTATTATCATCATGTCAAAATTCAAACCACAAATTTTTTCTTATACATCCATATTTCCAAATGAGTAGTTTTTTGCTACTGTCGCTATACTAATACTAGCCATTAGACTGACATGTATATATGCATACTTTATTGAACAAACAACAGAATTTCAAACAGATAATTTTGATCTTAAACCTCCATCTTTACCAAATCATTAGTTCTTCCGCTAGGCCGATATAGCCATTAGGCCAACATATATACTTTACCTCACAAATATACCTACATTAAAAAACAATTTAAATAGTATAACAAATGAAAGTTGCCTAATATTGAAAGATCATACATACATATCTATATCTATATATTTATAAAGAGGTTGTTGGAAAAATACATTAATAGAAAGTTTGACCAAATAAATATAATGTTTGACTTACTATTAATGGAAAGTTCGAAAAAACACATGTAAATATTTAGAAACAAAATCTGAATCCTATTTTTTCGGTAACAAATTTGGAGATTCTTATGACAAAATTTGAATCTAATTTTTTTCGTATCATATTTTATTTTTTTACCAAAATTTAAATCATATCTTTTTTGGTAACAAATTTAGAGATTCTTATGCAAAAAATGTGTCAATTATTTATGAAAACAATTCTAAATACAAATCAATTTAAAAACCGTGCAAATTGAATACAAATTTACGAAACAAATAGTTGTATAATTTCTAACCAATTCTTCCAATCTTAATAAATAATTTTTTCTTTCAAAAAAAGTGTGTAAATTGGTTGAAACCACATGCAATTTTTATTTTAAAATAAAACTGATATTTGGATGGGATGCACATTCAAAATTGTACCCACATTTTTTGGTAACAAAAGCGGTTCATCTTTTAAAATAATTAATTGCACACCATATTTAGAAAGTTTTAGATATTTTAAATCATAAAATAGGGTAGCATTAAATACCCCCTAAAATTATGGGTTTTGTTGAATTCATTTTTGAGAATTTTGACAGATATTAAAGTGAATATGAAATTCAAAATCTCTTCTCATTTTATTTTTAATAAAATCTGCATCCAAATTTACGTGTGGTTTTGAAGTGAAAATTTGAAATTCAAAATCTTTTCTCTTACAAGAGAATCGGACTGCATTCAACACTTGGACCAATTTAAAAATTATTCCTTAAATGAAGGAATTTATAGATAATTGTTATCTCTACTCAATCACATCATTATTTTCAATATAAAAAGAGACAGATTACAAGTTAGTGAATCATATATTACCTAATTCAATATCTTAACATTAAGAAATAAATCCATAGTATTATGTAAATCCGTATCTCATATTATTATATCATTAAGAATATATTATTGTTATATTATCAAATCTTTTAAAGATATTAAATCCATATTGGAAAAAAAATAATTCATATAATTTTATAACAATTCTACTACAGTATTTAACAATATTCATTTTTATTATATAATAAAATAATAATTAAATATTATATACTGAATAACAATAAGTAAAATTGTTACTTTCTCTTATATGAAGGGATAAATTTATAGGCTAAAATTAAATTTTTATTAGTATAAATATTTTAGTGAGATAATATATTAATTACAAGCTAGCCTTAACATGCTCATATTTAATGTTCTTGCTGACAAAAAAAACAACGCTGGTTAAAAGATGTGGAAAAAAAACTTATAATAATCCTATTGTTTTTTAGATTTAACTTTAATTAAAAGAGGTAAAAATAGATAATAACTCTATTATTTTTTAAACTTAAACGGACAAGGGTGTGAAAATAACTCATTTAATATCTTTGTCCCGTGCATCGCACGGATATGTACTAGTATATAGAATAAGACAATGCCAGTCACCCCATATCATTATTAAACAAACTCTAATTGTCCCTATGCAAATTAATTATAGCAAATAACAAACCCATATTATCTAATTTTGCTGTGTATGATAATTGATATGATATCCCACTCTAAAGCCTCCCTCCCAAGTCCCAACTCCTCTCTCTATATATATACACACCCAAACACACCCACATAACACACAACCAAAATCCTTCTTCCCAAA